TGTGCAGCCAATCAACTCCAAGCTCTCACGCAGGCGCTGTAAGTCGGGGACCAGCCTCCAGTTACATCCTGGGTAGAAGCGACTCCCTTCTCCCTGGCTCAAAGCAGGGGCACAGCTATTTAACATATCTATGAAACCAGTTAAAGGTTATGGATAGGTTAAATGACCATTTCAGAGGTTAGTTGCGAAACTGTTGCTATGCAAAACAGCTCTCAATGGCCCTGCTCCATTTGTCCCTTTCCCCTGTGGGACATCTTAATATTTCCTGGACACCCTGAGCTCTGGACCCCATCCCAAATCCTTTTCTGGGGCCCCCTCTTGGCTGAGCCCTTGTTACAATATGATCTAGCGATCTTATTTCTTAGTACATATCTAAAAGAAATGACATTAGCATCTTGAGTAGATATTTGTTTGCACTTTCTTGTTCATTGCAGCATTATTCACAATGGCCAAGATTTGGAAAAATTCTATTATGTTCAACAAATGAAGGGGTAAAGAAAATGTGAGACATGCACACAGAGCTGGGGGTCAGGGAGAGAAATGTCATTCAGCCTTTAAAAGAAAGAAAATCCTGCCATTTGTGACAGCGAGGATAAACCTGGAGGATGTCATGCCAAGTGAAACAAGCCAAGCACAAAAGTACAAATACTGCATGATCTCATTAATGTGGAATCTAATATACTCAAATGCATAGAAACAATTAGTACAATGGCGGTTGCCAGAGGCTAGGAGGAGGGGTAAATACAAAGATGTGGGTCAAAGGGTACCAAGTTTCAGTTATGCATGGTCTAAGGTTCTGGAGATCTGATGCACAGCATGGCAATGATAGTTTACAATGCTGTATTGTGTACTTGAGGTTTGCTAACAGGATAGCTCTTAGGTGTTCTCACCACAAAAAGTAAGTAAAATAAATAAATAAAATGGTAACTATAATGATGGATGTGTTAATTAGCTTGATAGTGGTGATCACTTCACAATGCATACATATACCAAAACATCAACTTGTGCATCTTAAATATATATAATTCCTGCTTGTCATTTATACTTCAATATAGCTGAATAAAATTACGCTCTTTCAAAACTAGAAAAAAATCTGTATTTTAATAATATCCCCAAGTGATATGCATTCATTATAAAGTCTGAGAAATGTTGGCACAGTGGATAAGAGCATCAGGCTAGGGTTCGAATCCTGAGTCTTTCCCTTGTTCGCCATGTAACCTTAGGCAGGTTACTTGACTCCTGTGAAACGTTGACAATAATAATAGTATGTAGCTCTGAGAGTTGGCGTGAGGACTGCATGAGATTGTACTCAATGTCTGGCACATGGTATGGACTCAAAAATGGTAGCTCCATGTGTACAACTGAAATGTCATTGTTCTAGTTGGAAGCATCTTTCCTCCCATCTGGAATTTTGTGATAACTTCTTGTCTGCTTCTCCTGTCTTAGGCTCTTCCCATTCACCCTATCATCTATTTCAGTGCCAGTTGTTTTCAGTGGCAAAGATCTGACTGTGACACTGCTCTCCTCAAAAAATTCAAGGCATCTCACTGCATTTACACGTGCAAATCCCTTATTGCACTTACAAGCCAACTTCTTGGCATGCAAGCCTCAGTCTCCTACTCTGAGTGCAGCCTACTCGAGAGAAAATGATGCAGTGGAAACAGGGAAGATTTGCATCAGGAGCTTCAAAATATTGCCCTTGTTCTGACAATAAACAGCAATTTGATTTTGTTTACCATCTTTGGGCTCCAATTTCCTAATCCGCACAATTAAGTAGTTTGACTGATAGTTTTACCAAGATCTTTTACATTTAGTATTAATAAGGCTGGAAATTAATTCAAGTTTACTGGCATACCACGAATTCCAGAGTGTTCTACATAATATCTGAAACTGGGAACAGGAAACTCATCCCTTATTTCTCATTCATGAAAATAATGTTGTCAATTGTTTGGGGCCAAATCTACATATGATATTTTAAACAGCTGTTATTTAAAAGTACCTCATATTAGTTGTTCTACTAGTGAAAGATAAATATTTGTTTTGAATTTTTCAGAGAAATACCAAATTTATTCAGTTCTGTAAATTAAGAACAACACATTTTCTTTTTATGTACTAAAGAAACTGTATTTCCAATAACAATTAGGCAATATTTTAGAAATGTTTTTCCCTTTTGATTAGGGGGTGACTTCATACTTTTAAGTACGTTTCTTATAGAAGAGAGTACCTTTGAAGCAGCATCCCAGGATTACAGTCCCCAAAATGGTGTGATGAATCCTAAGATAGCTTTTCATTCTCGAGAAATTGAAAGCTTTATTTTCAGGATGTAACATTAAGTTTTTCAGTTGTTAAGGTAGCAGGTACATGTGGCTTTGCTGCTACAGAAATGCAATATATTTCAAAATCATTCACAGTTTCTCTCAATCCTATGCCAGAAAATAAGTAAAACATTTTGTGAGGTGTTTAATCAATTTCAATTATTGTATATGATTCATTTACATGTTTGAATTTGGGCATTTATCAGTAGTGAAGAAATCACCTGGTGGAGAACACTTTCACTGACTGATGGAGATAAGGACATTGAACTTTAGAAGAAAGTGAACTGATGAGTTGCCAGCATTACTTTTCTTCTCCATTCTGTGATGTGCATTTTCTCACATGCTAGTCTTTCTGAAATTAGGTAAATCTTACTAATAATGTGAAGGTATTTTTTTCTCAGAGGAAATCCTTACTCTTTGTTCAGGAGAAACTATATTACCGAAATACAAAAGCAGAAATCCTTAAGAATAGAAGCTACAAGCCAGAAGTATATAAATCATTATACAAGCAATTTTTATTCATATTTATATTAATCGATCAAAATTTAAAGGAGGCACCTAAAACTGAATAAGCATAGCAGAAGGATACAGTTATGATTTATGTAATGACAAATACCCAAGTATTAATTAGATATGTGAAACTGATCATTAATTTTTATTGAAAGTAAACATGCAAGCACATCATGGGCAAAAATACAAAACACATAGAGAATCCCTGTCACCACCTCTGCCAATCTGCACATATGTGCTTATGCACAGAGAGGCTACCTCAAGGCACAAAAATGAGTTTAATAGTCACATTTAAAAAATTTTGCACTTTGATTAAATTTCTTTACAGCTCTTAATAAATATAAATTAAAATAATTCACTGATGAATTTATATATTGGATTTATATGAGGCCTATTGGAAATGCCATTAGAAAAATGTCTATTGGTTTAACACCATTTAAATCTTTATATATAATAACAATATTTCCTTATTCAAAAGACAATGGAGATAAACTCAATCACACTTGAAAAATAACTAAATAAAATTATTAAAAAACAACAACAAAAAACCCCCTCCTCAAATGCTCTTCAATTACCAGGTGCTAACAGCAGTTTATGACCCACTGTGTTTTCTGCAGACACCACTGAACCCTAACCGCTGCTCCATAGGGAAATGAGGATGCTGGACCTTGGAGCTGCAGCCATGACACAGCTTTTGATCAAAATTATAAGGAGCATCCAGTCTCTGTGTAGCTCTGCAGACCTCAGTTCCAGTACTAAAATGTCTAAGATGTGACCTGTTTGTAGTGTTCATGTTGTTCACATGACTTCTCATCCAGCTAAGCATTTAGATACTACCTTGCTCCAAAAACAAAAATAAAGCAATAAATCCAAACCTCTGAAAGATCTAGAACCAAATACACCGGGTAGCAAGTCAAGTGTTTGACATTTGAGATATAAAAATGGAGATTAGGTTGTTTGAAAACCTGGTCTCTATGACTTTTATATTAAGGGCTGATTAATAATCAGGCTCAGATGTCCTTAGGGCAAGCAGTTTTATGTATTTAGAAGAAGAATGTGGAGTTACAGATTTCATCTGCAGACAAAACAACAAAATTTACCCTTGTTGAGAATATAGGCTTAACAAGCATTATTTTTCTTTTCTTACTGTATCAAAATGCATGTTTTATACAAATCCAAAGAGGAAAGAACAGATATGTAAAATGTACGTGAACATCCACAAATTTAAGGGCTAAGTTACTCTCTGTACCCTTGAGCAAACATATTGAACCTAAGAAGAATGTATCTAAGTGTTTGCTTTACACCCTGAAGAATACTCTTATTAAAATAGAGATGCTGGGTTTTATCATTTGTAAGCATGAGAACAAAGCTAAATGCAAAAGAATATACTTAAAACCATCAACTCGTTTCTTTCAGACTTTGGTTCTTTCTTTGTGGGGCTGTAGGAAAAAGCAACCCCACTCCCATATTACTTATTGGTTCCCATCATAATGACAGGTACAGGTTGCCAAGGTAATTCAGGAAAAACACAAAAATAGGCAGGCCTGAATTCAGTCCTGTTCTTATGCAGCTGTGCAGCATTAGGCCTACCACTTAACCTTTCTGAGCTTAATAAACTGAGGCACGACTTACCTCACAGGTTTGTTACATGCAGTCTTAAATGCTGCATATTCAACATGTGGTAACAGTTATGCTAACAGGTAAAGCTGATTGTTGAAGGCTTTAGATTGGACCACATGAAATTGACATTTTTATGGATAAAAAATAGCCAAATATAAGTCCTTTTTCAGGAACCTCAAGGGCATTGGTACAGTGAGGCTAAAGTATGGACGGCAAGGTCAGATTTCTTGGTGAGTCTTCAATCAGTGGCCATTTTAACCAGCAATTAGTGTGTAACTTGCTGAAATAACTTCCATTACCATGGAGTTGGGTATCTTAGACTATTCCATTCCCTACTCTCAGGTACAGGTAAATATTTTATGTTTATTAAAGTTATGTTTATTAAAGTTAGCATATCATACTCATTGCACTTGAATGGTTACACTTCTGTTCCATGCTACTAAGACTCACAAGTACATGAGAAGAATAGACATAAATTCACCATTTCACCCATCCTTCTAATAATACCAGTAACTTAGATAAGCTGTCAAGATGACCAGAGATCCACGTACTCTCCTAAAATCTTAATTTCAAAGTGTTTTCCATGTGGGAGATTTCTCTTTTAGTCACTCAGCTTTGCACTCCAGGTAGGCATTTCCAGAAATTTCCACTCAGTAGGGTGTAGCAAAAAGGGTTAATGCTGCTGCTGGCGTAACTGAGACAGATGGAGAGGTAATAGCTCATACAGAAAGCCAGTGTGGGCTGCTCCATCTGTAGGTTCAGCAGTTGTAGGACATGATAGGGGGCAGCACTGAGAATAAAGATGACCATCAGCACCAGCACCATCTTTGTCAGCTTCATCACTCTCTGCCTTGGAACACAGGGGCTGTAACTACAGAGGCAACATTAGGATAGAACATGAACAGTCTCGGGAAATATGGGGCAGTGGGTTCTGAGAACCTTTTGGACAGTTCATGATGGCTATGCCGTGCGAAGCCCATTTTTGTTCCTGCTTATTCAGAGCATTGTAAAAAATTTTTTTCATTCCTGTTAAAATTTTCCAAAGATGGTAGATTTTGGGAAACAAAATAAATGACGTAGTATTGAACTAAAGCCCAAAGTACCAAATACATGAGTCTATATTGGAAAAAAGAGACAAACCTTTTTACAAAAGAATTTCAAATAATATATATAGATACTCCCCTTTCCTGGAGGTGGAGCTTAATTCCCACCTTCTCCCTTACGCTTTAAGAGTGGGCTATACTTAGTGACTTGCTTCTACAGAATAGAAAAAGGAATAAATAGTAACTTTATGGTGGAGAAACCTGGTAAACATTGCCCTAACCAAGTTATCATGTGCCCCTTGATAGGTTTTGATGAGAAGAGCTGATTTTGTCCAACAGCACATAACTACAGTCTAATTGTGACATAGCACCGAACAAGCCCAGTTTGGGTGTAGTCTACAGGATACCTCCTAACTAGCACTCCTTGAGGCTATCAAGGTCAGGAAAAACAAGGAAAGGGCGAGAAACTGTGACAGACTAGAGGAGGCCGAGGAGACATGACAACTAAAGGCACTGTGGTGCTCTGGATGCAATCCCGGAACAGAAAAAGAACATTAATGGGAAAAGTGGTGAAATCCAAAAAGGGTAGACTTCAGTTAATAGTAATACACTGATGCCATTTTTTTGTTGTCTTGGCAAATGCTTCATGGTAAGGTAAATGCTAATGGGGGAACTGAGTGAGGAGAATATAGGAACTCTGTGTTATTAGTGCAACTTCCCTGTAAATTTAAGATTATTCTTAAATATATAAAAATTGATTTCCAAATTTTATCATGTTATGGACTAGTTAGACATTTAATATATATTAACGTGAGACATGGTTGAAGCAGATAAATAAGCCCGAGGAATAATATGAAAAATAGCGTGGCAGCGGAAAATCATTCTAGATGATTTCTCTACAGTTTATCAGAGTAGCACCATCAGTCCCCTAACTTTTTGCATTTTGAGGGATAACTGGACAGTGTGAGCTTTCTTTCATAAGATGATCTTAGCATTTCTGAAGAAAGTGCTGGAAGCGGAGCGGTCTGGTTTGGAGAACTGTTGGAAAAGGGCTCAAGCACCCTTCCCCGCTGTGGGTATCTTAAATGTTCCATTTCAACCTTCTCACCAATTCAGTTCTCAGTAAGACATTTAGAAGATTTTTTTCTGTAACTGTGGCTACTTCTCTGTTTCATTCTAAATAGGCTACCCTTGAAGAATGTAACATTTTCCAAGAATTTCATGAAATTCTAAGTGGGAAAAAAATGTCATAGGCCAATAGACCATCTAAACCAGGGTTTTCCACAAATTTTGACCAGTGGGTGTATAAACCCTATTTTTTAAATCTTCACACTATTACATGTGGTGTGTGGGGGAAACCCATGAATCTTGTCTTTTCAAAACACACATATCCCTGATTGGTGTGGCTCAGTTGGTTGGGCATTGTCCCAAAAAGCAAAAGGCCACTGGTTCAGTAACCCATCAGGGCACATGCCTAGGTTGCTGGTTTGGTCCTGGTCAGGGCATGTGCAAGAGCAACCAGCCAATGTTTCTCACATTGACATTTCTCTTCCTCTCTTTCTCCCTTCCTTCCCATCTCTCTAAAAATAAATAAGTAAAATCTTAAGGAAATCCAAATGCAATAATGTATTCTAAGGACAAATTTTAATAACACCTTTCTTAACCCAACATGTTTTATAAAATGCTGACTTATGCATTTAAACAAATTGGTATGTACAGTTTTAAGTAGAAAATAATTTATATTTATTCATGCAGTTTTAGAGGTAAGTATCTTTAAAGGTCCTCCCCAAGTTCATTGTCTTTATGTAAGTCTTTGGTTAGTCCAAATTAATCTTGTCTTAAGAATTCAAATATTAATGAGATATTTCTATAAATTAAAAAAGTAACACAAAAATTTGAAGTTATATACGACACCTAGGATGCTTACATATGTACATAATTCTGCAAAATGTACAAATTAAATATTTAAATAAATTATAAAATTATTCTTTATTTTTATTAAAGATTTATTTATTATTATTTATTTCTCTTTAGAGGGCAGGGGAAGGGAAGGAGAGAGGGAGAGAAACATCAATGTGTGGTTGCCTCTTGTGCGTCCCCTGCCAGGAACTGGCCTGCAACCCATGCATGCGCCTTGACTGAGAATTGAACTGCGATCTTTTGGTTCATAGACCTGCGCTCAGTCCACTGAGCTATGCCAGCCAGGGCTATAAAATTATTGTTTAAATAGAATCTTGAGTTCTGCTTACATTTTTAGGAAACCATTACCTCAGTGATTTCAACAATTATCTCAGTGATCTCTCAGTGAGGATCACTGAGAGATCCTCAAATATCTGCTTCGGAACATGGTTTGTTTTCAGAAAATGCCTCATATAGATATCAATACCCATATGTCTAAGTGTGGTATGTTTTAAGTGATTGGTGTTTTAATTTCTGTTGTAGATGTCTTAGGATCTCTGAATAGTTTTTTTTAATAAATAAAGAGTAATAAAGCGAACACCTTCTGGCATCCTTATTCTGTTGATATATCTCTCAAGTATAGCATAAAATTAAAATATAGCACACCAAAATTAAGGGCAAAGGGAAGAAAAAAGTTGTTGTCAAATAAAGTGTGTACCTATAAAATGAGAGAGAGAGAGAGGGAGAGAGAGATGACTGTTACATTTGCACTGCTAGGAGCTGGCTTTCATGGTTTATGAGGCATGATTCTCTGATTTTTCAGCGTCCAGGATAAAAGTCCTTGGGGAAAAGTTGAGGATTTGGGGGGTGCTTTCCTGTGGAGAAGTCCTGCTCCTCATTGCTCACCGACAATGATGCTTACCTCTTCAGTAGCCACGGCTAGCGCTACTGGGTACAGAACAGGTAAGGATGATTATTGTTACCATTATCATTAGTGTTACTAGCAACAACAGACAATAGCATTTATGGCATTATAGAGTAGGCACTGATCTGGATGCTTAACACTTTTAACGCATTGAATCTGTGCTACCCCATGAGTAAAATGGCATTAGTATTACAGATGCCATTTTACAGTATTAGGATTCCTCATATTACAGAAGAAAAAACTAAGGCACAGAGGGATTAAGTGTCTTGCCCAAGTTTAGCAAGCTAGTAAGTGGCAGAGGAGGGATTTGAACCCAGATGGAGAGTTGAGCTGCACAGCCCATATTTGTAGTCAAGACTCAATATGGCCTCTCAAAAGGCCTGTTGTAAAATCAGCCAGTCTTTCTTCAGTGCTTTGCCAGGGAAAATTCTCAGGTGAGCTAATTCCAGTTCTGCACAGATGCCAGCTGACTCCATTCCTGGCAGAACCTCGGTGCTGGTAAAGAAGGCAGCCCAGCCTGGGTGGGTGTGCACAGGGGCAGAGAGAGGGGAAGAGAGCCCCTGGGACCAGCAGGATGCTGAAGGCAACACAGAAGTTCCCGTCTTAGTTCACCGCTAGGATTAAATTCTAGGGGGAACAGCATAGGCTGAAACTTCAAAATATGCTTTATGATAACCAACCAAAAATAGCAGAGCAGCTGTTGGTGTGAAATAGTTCATCTCAATTTCTCTGGCACGGGTCAAAGCCCTGTAGTCATATAGAGAGGCTCAGGTTGTGTTCTTTCAGATAGGTTGAAGTCCATATTAATCTTTTAGTACCAGTGACTGAGTATCATTTCACCTTTAGATTGGTTGATGGTTTATGTCTGTGAGTGCAGCCATTGCTGGTGGGAGAAATAACACATTAATGATCAATCCTGTGTTGCACTCCTTGTGAGCTTGTTGTTACTGGGTTTGTGGCCTGGCAGGCCCTTTACCTCCATCCCTCCTGGGCTGTGTGTATGCGGAAATGACTCATCACTTGAAAGTGGTAGATGGGACAAGGAGTCTGCCAGATTGACTTGAGATGTATGGATGTATGTAAAAAGCACCTAGCACAGTATCTTGCACTTAGTAGGTGATCAAAAATGTTTAGTCATAGACTTCAAGGTTATGTTAAAAATTTCAAGAAGAGAATTTTTGACAATTTTTCTTTTCAAATTAAAATACTGTGAAATACCTATGTTGGTGGCAGCATTAGTTATGTAGAGTTGCTGTAACCAATTATCACAAGCTAGATGGCTTATAAAAAAACAGGAGAATTATGTATTTCCTCACAGAACTGGAGGCCGGAAGTTTGAAATCAGGTGTCGGCAGGGTTGGTCCCTTTAGGAGGCTCTGAGGGAGAATCTGCGCCAGGACCCTCACCTGGCCTCTGGGGGTTTCTGGCAAAATCCTTGGTGTTGTTTCGCTTCTAGACACATTCCCCCAATCTCTGCCTCTGTATTCAGAGGCATTCTCCTCTCTGTGTGTCTCTTCAAATCTCCCTGTCCTTATAGGACACCAATCACTGGGGCCCACCTTAATCCAGTATGACTTCGTCATAATCTGACATATCTGCAAGGACCCTATTTCTAAATAAGGTCACATTCATAGGTACTGAGAGTAAGGACTTGAATATATTCTTGGCAGCAGGGACACAACAACGAAACTCCAGTTGTATATTGGTAAGATTTGCATCTCGGTAACTGGTAACTCTGAGATGCTTTTTGAAACTCTGTCCCTCCCTCGATTGCCACATTCCTGCTGTGTCCAGCTGCCAGGGATCTTTAAAATCCTTATTTATGTATATTTGTACCCCCTGAGGTTACAGGATTGAATTTATAATCTTTTTTCTAAAGGTGACCCTCTCCTTAAAATTAACTGATCAACTTGACTGTGGAGGGCAGACAACTAAGCAGGAAGACTGTTCAGAAGAGGGGTCCCCGAGGACACTCCACACAGCATGTAGACAAGGAGGATGAAGCACTTTATAACTTAATTCAACTCGATTTTTCTTATGTTGTAACAACCTACCAGAGAACATCATCAAGGGGCGTTAAATCAAAAGCAAAACTCTCCATGCCATCTTTAAATTTGATGACCTTTGAGTAGATCCAGACAGGCGATGCCAGAATAAAGGACGCTGCCCAGAGGCCCAGACTGATGCGGATGGTCTTGTACCTTGTTCTCCAACTTGCAAGTCGAAATGGTTGGATGACAGCCAAGTACCTGCAAAGCTAGTTAAAAGGGGTTGGGGAACAATCAATAAAAGCTCTCGGCTTCAAGGATGACTGGTACATGACAAAAGTAAATTATTAGTATTTTTATACTCCCTGAAGCACACCTTTATCAGAATTATATTTTTTAAGAGCTGGCTGTTACCTGGAGAGAAAACAACTCTTGACCCTGTGAGTCTGAATAAACCACTCACTGAAATAGCTGTCACTTCCACGAATACACTGATGATGGTAACATTCTGCCCTGCAAACTCTTTTTTTACATAGGTGCTTTCCTTGTAGACGAGGCTCTGTAAAACTTAGTCTCTAAACAGGGATTTCCTTCAGGAAGTGAAGTCCCTTGTCCTGTAGGATTTGCTGATGTAGAGGCGGGGAAGGGCCAGTGCATGGGTTGGTATGAGGATTCCCCAGCCGGGTGAGGTTCAGGACCAATGGGACAGGCATTTTGCTCAGATGGCTTTCCAGTAGGGTCCCCATGCTCTTGGGGGTTCAGTTCAGACAATTCTCAGCCAGAATAAATAAACGTGACTAGTGTAGACAATGAAAATTCCTCAGGCAGGGGGCCAGAAGGGGAAATGGGCTAATTTCATGCAGAAGTATTTTTCACTTCTTTTTTCTATTTTTGATCCAGAAAAAAAGGATAATCATTAATCAAACTTGAAATCCTGACATATCCAACACATTTGGTTCTCCAGCAAATCCACAAAGAATTTTTCAGAGCCAACTAAAAGCTAAAGGATGAAACAGAGAATTCAGACCCAGGAGGGAGAGTATTTGAAAAAGCAGTTTTGCTGAGGGTGGGAGCTGGACTGTTTAAGAGGTTCACAGAAGAGGTACAATGGCAGGAAAAGCCCATACTCTCCTTTATTCCCCATGCAGGGATGAAGCAGGTTTTATCATCTCCAAGAATGGGATTATGATTGGTAAGGTCTGCACTTCCCGTTGCTTTTCTGCAGTGGTCCGGCCTGTGCATGGCTTTCTCCCTAATGTTGGAACCCTGGCAACTCGCCGGCTTTATTGGACGTCAGCATCCCCAGGAATCAGTGAACGAACCAGACCTACTCAGGACATTGATTAACAAGTGTGATGTTAGTTACAACTTGAGAAGCACACTCTATATTTAGATAATTCTTTTGCAAAAAGCAGCAGGATATAAAAAAAGCATTAACATTGCCATCATTATTCATGTCTGAATAACAATCCAGTGAACAATTTATATGAACCTTGCTATTCCTTGTTTATACACCTGAAGAATTGCTCATAACTTCCCTACCTCGAAGGCCCACTTGGATGGGTGAGAGTCAGAGCTCAGGAAGGAGCCTGGATGGACGCAGGGGGATTTGACACAGCCTTCAAAACTGACAGTCATACACTCACTGATATTTTTCGAGCACCCACTTGCCAGGCATGGTTACACAGACATTTGGGATATATTAGTGATCAAAGACCATGCCTTTGTAGAATTTACACTTGAGAGGTAGGGGAAGCTGGACAATAATCAATACAAACTCACTCACACACAAAGTAAATTTGATTATGTAATAGATTTGAAGCAAGGGAAATCAGAGCAAGAGGGTCAAATGCACTGGGCTGGGGTTGAGGTTCAGGTTGGGGTGGGAGAGTGGATTGAGATTTTAAGTGTGGTGTTCTCTGAGACAATTTCTGTTGTGTGGACAGGGAGTGAGCAGACTTACTTTGGTTCTCAGCTCTGCCACTGACTCTCTGTGCCTCTGGCAAATGCCTTCACTTCTTGGAGTCTCAGCTTCTTTATTGCAAGAACCATGGGGGAGCCTTATTCTAGTTTCCAACTTTTCATGATTTTGAGATCATTTTTTATTGCAGTGAATTATAAATAAAAGAGGTCAAAAGAATGATTATTAAAAAGGAGATCTTAAGAAGTAGATTTCTGTGAAAGTTGGCACAAAAATTCTTAAGTAATCAGTTCCACAGTGAAACAAGCAAAGGAGGAGGAGCCTTGCTATTACCAACCACACTGATGTTGATCAAAGTTGGATGAAGCTGGGGAGGTGCAGGCACCTCTGATTGATGTTAAGATGTTTCAGAGTCTCTTCAACTTACCTGTCCACACTCATTACAGTCGTGATGGTGCTACAGGCAAACTGGTTGCAGGTATTTAGGGATGTAATGATGGTGCAGAGAAGCCCCCCAGAAACCCACTTTCCTCACTGGGCCCACAGGTGGATGAGGAAAGGCATTGCAGTGATGTGGACCAGATCAGCCACAGCCAGGTTGCAGATATAAATGTCAGGGGTCCTGAAAGAAATGTACAGAAACTGAAGACTGACTTTGAAGGTATGCACCTTCTTTAACTTGTGTAACCTGTTACAAATTTTCAATTGCCAAAAGAGATTTTAAAAGTTAAAGGAAACCCTACACAAATGCACATATGAACAAGTTTCTAGTCTGTGTATTTGAACATTTTGAACTATATATCTGATACCTAACTGTGGTGGTTTAAAAATGTGCTCATACATACTTTGCTACCGCTTTAAAAAAAAATGGAGCCTAATTCCTTTCCTTTGAGCTTGGGTTGAACTTAGTAACTCATTTTTAATTTTTTTTCTTTTATTGATTCTAGAGAGAAGGGAAAGGAGAAAGAGAGGGAGGGAAATATTGACATGAGAGAAACATTTGATGGGTTGTCTCTTAAATGCGCCCTGACTGGGGATGGAACCCGCAACCCCAGGCCTGTGCTCTGACTGGGAATCGAACCTGTTACTCTTTGGTTTGCAGGATGATGCCCAACCAACTGAGCCACACTGGCCAGGGCAGTAACTCATTTTTAACAAATGACAGTGTGTGACATTTAAAATTAGCACATAAAAGCATTGTGGAGTTTTCTTCTTGCTGTCTCTTGGTTCATTTTCTCTGGGGAAGCAAGCTGCTGTCTTGTGAGAACACTTAAGTGACTCTGTGGAGAGGACCCCATGGAGAGGAGCTGAGGCCCGCTGCCAACTACGAGCAGCAACCTTCCAGGTGCGTGAGTGAACCACTTGAAAGTCGGTGCACCAGCCCCATCAAGATGACTGTTGTCCTAGGGGACAGCTTGACTATGACTTTATGAGGGACCCTGAGCTGGAATCACCCAGCTAAGCTGCTGCCTAGACTCCTGACCTTTGAAACTGAGACATAATAAATGTTTGTTTTAAACTAAGTTTTGGGGTAATTTCTACATAGCCACAAACTATGCCAACTCAAAGCTCACTCAGGCAAAAGGCTTAGCCTGTCCTTATCCCTGGCACCAAAAACAACTGAATAGTAAATGGTTTCCATTGTGCAAAGCATTTTTTCCCACTGTAGCTGGATGTTCAGATCTTAACTGAGGATACTGTTAAAAAATCAATGATTATTTAGAAATATTCTAATAAAATATGACCCAATAGCAAAGACTATTATTATTGATTAAGACCCTGAAACCAGACCATGTAGAGAAGAAATCTGAGTGAATGAACAGGTAGAGGGCACTGAGAATGATCTCCTGTCTCCTGCTGGGGCAGTAAAGTTGATGCTGCCAAGATGTGGCACCTCCTCTATAGGCAAAATACTTTTCTGAGAGCAGAAATTTCAATTTTATGTTCAGTGGCTGGGACATTCATATATAGAAATTGGGACATTCAATAATAAACAAGCATTGTCTTTATCAGGGAGACACTTTCATTAATTCAACAGACATTTCGCTGAGGACCAATTATACGCCGGGCATAATATTTTGCTCTGGGGCTGCAAGGCTAAATGATCAATAAGCTATAATATCAAGGAGCTTGTAGTCTAGTGAAATGATCACATTATAATGTGATGGGAGAAAGCTAGAGCAAGAAGAAGGAGTACACAGTAGGCCTCTGCCCCCTCCTTTGGTGACAGTCAAGGCAGATTTCTTGGCAGAAGTGGCATCTGAATTGAGGACAAATAATTTAAAGAGCACATAAGAATTAGCCCTAAGATTATGCCACAATTGTTAGTTGACTCTAGATTCAGGGCTATTGCTCTGAGGTTTGGAAGCCAGTGTGTGTTTTTATTATTCATGGAATGCAAATTCTATGGACTGTGAAATGTAAGGCATCAAATCCTTATGTGAGACACCAGTCTGCTTGGGGATATTTACCCAGGATGTGGCAACACACAATGTGGGTGGGGGGAAGTTACTGCCACTGAGTCCTTACTCATCAGTCACACTCCAGGCACTGTTGATAAAGCAGGCTGGTCCCTTGCCCCCTGGAGACTGGTGGCTAATATGAGAAAGGCCAAGAAAAAGACACATGAGGAAAGGATTACATCAACCAAAAAAGCAGCCAAGTGACTGTTCTTGGTCTGTCATTCTTGGTCTCTCCAGATCATTGGTGTGGGAAATGGTCAGGAGAAGGGGGAGGAGAACAGATACCAAAGGTCAGCTAGAAAGGGTTCTGCATTGAAAAACAACAAGAACAACTAAACAAACACCAAATGAAAAAACACAGCAAAAAATACCGCAATATTAGCCCCTATATGGATTTTATTTCATTTTAAATTGGGATCTAAACAGTAAGTGGTTGCTGAGGTCCTAACTGTATCAGTTAGATCAATGGTTCTTGCTGTTCTCCAGACAGACAGCCATCATTTACTGAGAATCAGTTGTGATAATTCCATTGCTGAGCACAGTGCAGGCCATTAACAGGCCATTAAAAAGAGTAAATAAGAGTGTTTCTAGATGATATTCTGTATAGAAAAAGAGGATTTTGAAACAAATGATATATTTATCTGGGCATAAGGTATGAGCAATAAGAGTGGCACGTTGTATTTATTATTGCTTTTTTTTACTGAAAGTGACAGAATAAAAATTAAAAATAACAACTTGTATTCTTTTTTAGGTTTAATTTATCTTTAGGTGTCCTGTTGCCAGACATCATTAGATTTCTGTCCCTTATGACTCAAACATTTAAAACAACAAATGTAGACTAGTGATCATTTTAGCCAATGTGTTTTTCATGTGGTTAACATGGTCAGATCTCATGCTCACTAATTTGAAGAATGATGAAATAAGTTATAATATTCCATAATACCATACAATCAGTGATACAGTCATTACAAATCACAATTTATGAGAATATATAATCGAACGTGAGAATACTTATTAAGTAAAAAAGTTTCAACTATGTATGTAGTATGACCTCAAATTTATTTAAACATTTGTTTAAAAATATGCTAAAGTAATATGTTAAGTGATCACAATGATTATCTATTTGGTAACTGGTTTTGACTTTATTCTTTGTATTTTTAGTGTTTAAAAAACTTTCTTTTAAAACATGTTTATGTTTTGCAATCAGAAATACTAGATACTATGGATTAAATGAAACTAACAAAACATATAACACTACTCATGTAGGAGGATGCTTTGCTAGTCAGCTTGCTCTCAGATCCTTCGCCCCCACCCAACCCCCCTTCTGACCCTAGCTTTGTTCCTAGGTCTCCTTGGCAGCTGGTATTGGTTAGTTTTGGCCAATAGGCAGCATTACTGGAGGGACATTGGAGGATAGGAGGAGAGTAGAGAGAGGGTATCTCCCTTCCCTCCGTGCTGCTGGCCTCTCTGGCAGAGGCTGTATTCCTTCCACGGCTCCACTTTCTCCCACTGCACCCCCTCCATGGTCCCAAGTCCCACTGTGGCCACAGCTCCCACCAGGCAGCCCAGACTCTTGGGGTCTGTGGAACCACCTCTTTTTTCTATCTGGTTCAGGGGGTGGTGTTGGGATGGAGATGGTGCTAGGAAGCACTGGTAGCTTCCCAATTTTGTTTATTTCTGGGTTGCCTCACCAGTTCCATTGTGGCATTTAACTCTAGTAGAATTAAATTCCTATTGTGAGCTATCCTCAGTGTATTAATAATGATTTCATCAAGCACCGTGCTTGAGAGTTGAGTCCTTACACAGACATTGCTGCAGGACAGACCTGTGTGACTGCAGATGTCTGCCAAGGATGGGACAGTTAAGATTACTGTGACCTATTCGCCAACCCTGCTCTAGATACAGAGTAATATAGTGGAAAGAGAACCTCAGTGGAATTCTATTTTCATTTTTATGCCCTCATTTATGCTCTTGGGAAACATCCAAACCCTTTAGATTCCAGAGTTGTCTTGGTGTATTGGACCATAGCAATACGTGTTTCCCACCAACTTTTCAGTTTATTTGAACAGCTGTGGCTGTGTGGTTCTGCAGCACTTAACGCGTAGGGTATACGTGTAGAAAGTTGTGAGTCAGCCCCAGCAAGTGCCTGTATGTGGTTGACACTCTGGAAACAGTAGAGGGCTGGGTCAAAGGGAGCTACTAGTTATGATTGAAGCTGGATGGGAAAGAGGAAGGAGGCCTCGTTCTAAGCATTTTCTTTCTCTCTTAGTAACTGAGATTCCACCATTAGACCATTAGTATTCCTTCAGGTTAGCACACTGTCCCTGTTGTGATTTCTGCATAGACACCATTGCAATAGTTAAAAAGTAAAGTGCCTCATTAATTTATGATTTAATAATTAGGCGCCTTGACAGGGACTTGAGGGCTGGGAAAGGCAAAGTGGGAACTTTTTATTTATTGGGAGACAGAACATCCCTTAAAGAGTCTCTGTTCATTTGAAATGGCCTGTCGGTAGACAGGAGAAAGATGTGTTCAGGACATGGAGGTGCGGAATCAACAGAGAAAAATGGCATCTCCTTTACTGATACAGCATCCCAGGCCCCACTGTGGCTGTGGAGAATAGGTGAGTAATGGGGTTGAGATCATTAATCTCTCTGAAGAATAAAAGGGGGGAAATATTATGTTACAATTGGCCCAATTTTCCTCCTACACTTTCTAATCTGGCTACCTTTTGATCTGCTCTCAGTTTAAAGTATAACAGACTAGTAATGATCTTCCCTCACTACTTTATAGTCACCTTCTTAATATACAAATCACTTCTTACATTTAAGAAAAAGCCATATTGAACATCTCATTCTGGAAGCTCCATCTTAAGCCTATATTTTTGGTCTATATGTTTTATATACCTTTCTAGTTTTCCTTTGGCAATGTCATAGGTGAATTCGTTATTTGCTTCCTAGCGTTACTCTTGCTCTTTTTTGGTCTCATTGAGTCAGTCAGTATTAAGGGGAACAGTCGACCGTCTATGGCTGCCTGAAGCTTTGGGTAATTAGTCACAGTCTCTCTCTTGTACAAGCGAGTGAAAACAAGTCTTTTTACCAGCCCAATCAGGTCAACTTCTTAGGAGAATTCTTACTGCTGGGAAATAAATGGTTGCCTCATAATTTCAATGCTTGCCTGGGCTCTACCTCCAGTGATTCTGAGTTAATTGTCCCGGGGTGAAACTGTATATTAGAATTTTAAAAAGCTCCCTACGTGATTCCAATATGTATTGTAGCAAAGTTTGAGAATCACAGCTCTAAAAATTCCCAGCCCAGTAGTAAGCGCTGACCTAGGTCTTCGAGTTTTGAGACCTGTAACTCAGATGTTACTTTATACGTGGTAAAAATATCTGTAGCACCTTTTTATATTATCTTAAGCAATTATTTCTAAAACCTGGTTTCTTTAAGAAAAATCCTCCATGGAGAAAAGCATTCATTCAGGGAGTGCAGAATGCCCCTAAATTAGGAAAAAAGAGAAGGAGCCTCCCCTTATTATGGTGAATACAATGAGGGTGTTGCCAGCCAGGCCTGCTGAGCAGGTAATCGTAGTCATGGCGGGGAGGACAGTGTCCACAGCTCTGAGGGTTTGATAAGCAAACTCTTCATTCCAGGATTTGTTCATAAGTTCAGTAGAAGTGTTCCAACATGAAGAGTGAAGTGAATTCATTGTGCATGAACTTCCAGTAATTAAAGCTGTGAAGGAATAGGAAATGATTTATTTAATGAATTTTTGAGGCAGTTCCCTCAATATAGATTTCTTCTTTAATTCAAAAAATAGTCATTGAGGCTGTCTTTGAACCAAGATACCATGCCATGTAAGGTTCCAGGGTGAGTGTTGTAAAAAAGCTCCAGAGATCTGCTGTGCAATGTTGTGCTTATTCGGCATTCAATAATGGACTGTTCACTGAAAAATTTCTTAAGGGGATTGATCTCGTATTATATGTTTCTTTTCTTTCTTTCTTTCTTTCTTTCTTTCTTTCTTTCTTTCTTTCTTTCTTTCTTTCTTTCTTTCTTTCTTTCTTTCTTCCTTTCTTCCTTCCTTCCTTCCTTCCTTCCTTCCTTCCTTCCTTCCTTCCTTCCTTCCTTCCTTCCTTCCTTCCTTCCTCTCTCTCTCTCCCTCCCTCTCTCCCTCCCTCCTCCCTCCCTCCCTCCCTCCCTCTCTCTCTCCTCCTTCCTCCCTCCCTCCTCCCTCCCTCCCTCCCTCCCTCCCTCCCTCCCTCCCTCCCTTCCTTCCTTCCTTCCTTCCTTCCTTCCTTCCTTCCTTCCTTCCTTCCTTCCTTCCTTCCTTTTTTTTTGCCAGACTAGAAAAAATGGTGTGTGATGCCCTGGCTGGTGTGGCTCAGTGGATTTAGCACTGGCCTATGAACCAAAGGGTCACCAGTTCAATTCCCAGTCAGGGCACATGCCTGAGTCGCGGGCTCCATCCCCAGTGGGGAATGCATGAGAGGCAACCACACATTGATGTTTCTCTCCCTCTCCCTCTCCCTCCCTTCCCCTCTCTCTAAAAGTAAATAAATAAATTAAAAATAATATGTGAGAGGGTAAAATATATGTTTGAAAAATGGGATAGAGTAGATGTTTCATGTTTTAGATTAAATATCCTAGTCAGTAGTCTATTGGTAAAATATGTTCACAAAAAATAAAACATAACATGAAAATTGAAAAAAAGATGTCATTAAGATAGCAAAAAGGCAAGTCTCACAAGATATGCCTAAGATATATATAACCAAGGCTATTGGTCAGAATATTAAAATATGTATAAAAACCAATGAGAAAAGCACAGACAACTCAACAGAAAAATGTCCATAGACTTGAACAAGCCGTTACAAAATAGGTATCCAATGGTAGATAAACATTTGATACAGCATTCAATATTATTGGTGATAAGGAAAAGGCAAATTGAAACCACCATGGGATATTCATACATACCTATCAAATTGGTAAAAAATCTCAAATCTGAGATTTTCTTGGTGAAGTTATGGGACCACAGGAACTTCCACTATTAGTGAGAATATAAATCAATACACCACTGTGGAAACCAGGGAGACATTATTAAAGTCGAATAAATATATGTTATCTAATGACCCAGAAAACTCCCAGCTAGGCGGGATGTACTTAGAGATATACATTTGTGTGTGCCAAGAGAAGGGCCCCCAAAATGTGCACAAAAATGTTAATTATAAATGTTTCACAATGATAATTGTGAAACATTTATATGATCAGATGGATATCCACCCATTAATGATCAGATGGATAAAAAGATCGCGATATATATTTTCACACAATGAAATATTGCACAGAACTAGAAAGAAACAGACTATAATTACATACAATAATGTAGCTGAGTCTAATAACTTAAGTTTGGACAGAAGCCCAAAATTGATATAGTATGATTCAATTTATATAGAATTTAAAAATATGGGCAAAAGTAAACTACAGTGTTAGGGATATATATATATATATATATATATATATATATATATATATATATAATGGTAAATATATAAAGAACAATAAAAAGTGATGAAATTGGAAAAGTCAAACTGATGGCCACCTCTAAAGAGAGCACTTTAGAGGTGCTCTAAATGTGGGTACTTAAAAAAGTCCAGATGATTATTTATTTTAATTTTTATTCTGTTATTTAGATCATGAAAAACAAATGTTTAAGAGAGATTTGGGGCATAGACAAAAATCTAGAGTTTAAGATAAGAGATGAAAATGAACTTTTATGACAACTTTACAGTTACCATAAGTTTAAAAATATGGGTTATATATTCAAATTAATAGGTTTGGAGAACATTGCATTTTTGGAAATGATGATTTACATTTAAGATATAGGTAGACCTTGCCCAATGAACTATGTATAGCAAGATATATTATCTCCCACATTACTTATGTATTTCAATATCTCTTTTCCAAATACAACCTACTGGAATATGACTCCCCAAGTTTTGGCCAATAGTCATGCAAATAAGTGTGTTTTTAAGACTAATGACTTCACATTTAAGACTTGGGAGTATAAACTAAATGGCTACATGTTAATTTATTTTTTATATTTACCAAAAATTTTTTGCAAGGTCAGATTGTTCACTTGTTATTGATGATTTCTAGGCTATTGGAACCTCAACCCAAATCCCTTCCGCCCCACTCTTTTGTGTCTCTCTACCTCTTGCTTTATTTACCTCCCGGACCTCAAGTTCTCTGGGGGAGATGGGAACTTGAGAAAGTGGGAAAGGAAGTTATTGATAAATAGTAATTACGATGGAAAGAACTCTGAGAGTAAACTCTAACTTTTAAAACCTTTACTCATGTCGCTAAAAATGATAAAATAAGGCCCTGTTACCTTGGCAGTTACTGCTTTTCCTTCTTGTCAATTAAAATTTCATGTTTAATATCTCCTGTAAATGTTGGAATTCAAAGTAAAGGCACAGTGGGTATCTGTGAAAATTGTATATAATTAAAATTTTGTGGATCTTTCTATCATAGTCATAAGAAACTTCTTGTCTTACCAATTTGTTTAATTTCAAATTTAAGAAATTTATCAGTCAAATAATAAGTCTACATCAAGGAAAAGAATCTCATTGCCCTTCATTTTGTCTTGTTGGCTGCAGCAAGCAGTAGCCTGCTCTCCCTCCCGATGTGTGACCGCTAAACACGAGCAGCTGGTGCCCAGTGATGATACTTGGTGCTTCATAACCCTCAATAAGTACCCATTATTATCTCTCTGTCCTTAATAGACACTGCTTATTAGTTAAATATACAAAAACACAACATTAATACACTGATGGCTCTTAAATAAAAGCTGATGAAAAAGGTTTTAAGCATTATTATTTAAATTAAATTCATATTTGAAATATTGTTAATATTTACTGAGGTTATTTTAAAAATTCTTTTATACAAAAATACTCTCAATTTTTAAGTATGATTTCTTTATATCTAAAGGCCACTTTTTATCCAGGACAGCTCCCTCTGATTTTATAATGAAAGCCAATGCTTAAATAAGGTTAACTTGGTAAACATCCTTTGCAGAAAACTCTGTGTGCCTTCTCTGTCTGTCCTCATGGGGTACCTCTGGCATGAACCCATGCACCCAGGTAGTAAAAAGTAAATGCTTTTCTCTTGAAACTTTTCTAGGTATAAAACTCTTTCTCATTCATTAAATTATAAATTTTGACATTTATTTGGAATATAACCACAGAAACCTGGTTTAAAAATAGTTGAGGATGGCTTTATGTGGAAAGATTTTTTTTCTTAAAAAAGAAAATTAATGCTTGTGAGGTGGGTGTTGAGAGAAGACAGACAGTGTCAGTTTAATGTATTCTGACTCGCACTGTTCATCTACATACGCTGTTATTTTCATGCATACACAATTTATTCATGTTGACTAGGACAAGCAAAGTGAGGAATGAATTGAAAGGAAACTTGATTTTTTAAAGAACAAAGAGAGTATTAAAAAGTCTGAAAAGTATGGCAAAGAAGAGCATGATGTAGAGAATAAATCGAAAGAACTAACAGATGATGAGTTTGCTTACATTGCAGTGATAATTTGACATCATTTTGGATTATTTTTAAAAGTTTCTAAAATAATAATCCTTAACTATTTTTTCAGTAAGCATGATCCTGATGATGGGGTTGAGTGAATTTAGTCAGCTAACTTTATGACTACTTACTATTTTCAAGTTAAATATCAGAAAATAGTTATATGGAGGAAACACCTGCTGCTTATAACTAGCAAAATTAATATGGATGTTTGATGGCCACAAAGCACAAAATATAACAGTCACATTTACCCGCTGCACTCTTGCCCCCAGGCACACCTATGAGTCCAAGTTGTATGGATTTGCTCTCCGAGTTATGGCCCAGCTAACTTGGGCTCATTATTTTTCACTTGATCCATCCATCTCCTTCCACTCTATTGAACCTCTCTTTGAGGAACCTCTACTTTAATTATCTCCAGGTATGCTCATTCATTCATTCATACAACAAACATTATAATGTCTACAGGAAAGAACAAGATCAATAAGATTCCAGCCTCCTGGAGTTACATTCTATTGTATTAGGGTTTATGGTTGTATTAGTGGTTACAAGGTTTAGGGTTTATATAAATGTACTGTGTTCTGTCACTTGCAATCTGTGACTTTGGTTAAGTAATCTCTTTAAGTCTCAGTTTCCCCAGTAATAACAGTGCCTATCACACAGTATTATTGTGATAACTAATGTGATAATATGAATACATGCTGAGCATAATGAGTTTAGTAAGTGGTCAGTTAATATCAATCATTATCATCATCATATCATCATCATCATCATCATGCAGTGGACTTTTCTTACTGGGTTACAGAACCAGGGGATGGGGGTGGAGTGGCAAGAATTGTAGGAATAAGAACTGTGAACCAAGACAGAGCTGCTACCTGTTAATCTTTTATCTACAGTGAGAAGGTTTAGAAACTGTTAAGGGGCACACAGATGCATATCAAGACCTTCAAGTTTATTTGCCCTTCGGCGGTGTCGCTCAGTGGATTGAGTGCCAGCCTGTGAACCAAAGGATCACTGGTTCGATTCTCAGTCAGGGCACATGCCTGGATTACAAGCCAGGTCCCTGGTGCGGAGTATGTGAGAAGCAACCACACATCAGTGTTTCTCTCCCTCTCTTCCACCCTTCCCCTC